TGATAATCAAGGGTTTTTTTTTTTTTTTCTTGAAACTGGTTCAAAATGTCTGAACATGGTTGCTTTAGGTGAGATGAACACCTGTCCCTTTCTCCTCTCTCCTTTTTTCAACACTGTCCAATAAGACCTCTTCACATGGTGCTGTTGAAATTACTGAGTCAGTAAGATCTAGAAGTCTKYAGACATCTGCAGATCTGCTTATCCATCTTCAAGAAAGATGAATTCAAAACTGCAGAGAGAGAGCTGCAAACAGCATTATGAGACAGCTGTCCTGGTTCAGCCAAATGGAGCCTGAGAGGGCCTGAGTGCRTTTGATGAATGTAGCAAGCTGGTAAACAGCCAGGAGAGAGCATGGCTAAAGGACAATGCTGGCACAAGTAGAAAGGAATAAACAGTGGCTTGAAATACAGTTAGAGTGGAAATTAAAGGAAGCTTTCTAACAATTAGAATGGGTCTTTTCTTGAACAGAAGTTTACTAGCARTAGCAGGAACAAAAAAATGGAGCTGGTTAAATCTGAAGTTTATGAAAGGAGTTGTCTGAGTTGACCACCTGCATCAGCACAATCAACAAGTCCAAAACAGTGACAAAAGACACCTTGTCTTGTCCTGTGTCCCATGTTCCTGACTGACAGCTTCCTGGATTTTGATTAATCAAAACACAGCTYTCTGCATAGTCTGGAAAGGAAACTCATGATCTGCAAAACTCTTACAGTTTCATTGTGCAGGGAGTCATCCTGCAAAATACAACATATGTTATTTCCAACTTTCATTTTACCTAGTGCTGTTCCAATGAGTTGTGCTCATTTTCTGGGAGGAGGGTGCTCTGCAGTTGATGGAGATCATGTATTTGTGCTGCAGCACTGCTGGTTTTCTGTGAGACAGYTCCATGACACTGCTTTAGCTGTGCAAACAAAAATACCAGTGCTGTAGGACAAAATCCTCAGGTAGAAAAGCTCTGGCCTTCTGTTCCTTAGAAGTTCACAAAAGTRAAGAAGAAATTCTTGCATTTTACCACCTAGCTTCTGAAAGTATGCCCAGGATTTTCCTAKGTCCATTTGGTCCAGAGTTTGCAAAAGGTCCCACTTTTAGTTTGCAAAATAAGTAATCTGATTTTCATGTGGCAGTGCATGTGGCACACTGGCATCTCTCTGAAAGTCTTTTAGATAGATTTGATGAGTCCCTGTAAGAGCTGTTGTGTAGTGAGTACTTTGTAACCGTGACCATCATTTAGGTGTTTACATGAGAACAGAGCTTAGTTAAGAGTCTGGCCCCAGTCACAATTTCTGGGAACAAGAAAATCTGCTTTGAAAGTAAGCTTTCAAATGTGGCCTTKGGAAAATTTATTCTAAACATAAACATATTATTGATCCAAATGCCTAATGAGATACTAACATTTGCTTCCTGTTTTAGAAGTAATTTATAGGSAAGTTGCTTTTACAGTAGATATTTCCATCAAGGCAGCAGTGGATAAAAGATATTCCTATCTGATGTRTATGGAGACCTTTTGTTGAAAGGTCAGTTCTTGATGAACAGATGTCTAAATTAAGAAAAACAAGATCAATAAAAATATGTTGCAGCTGGTACTGAGGTACCTGGGGGATTGGTTTGAACAAATAGATGGGTCTGAACTCATTCAGATGCCTCCTGAGAAAAGAAGAAAGAGCAGGCATGAAGACCAAGGGTCCACATTCAAGCAGAATCATGTTAGGGAGGTACAATTACAACATAATTGTATCTGTAGCCATTTACAGACATCAGACCATCCCTGTCACTGTTCAAGATCAAGCCACTGCTGCAGTTAGTTATTTATATTACTACAGTGTTACTGTGTAATCAGACATTTATTAGAGCATCTTACATAGATGCAGAAAACCACAAAAACTTTCCAATGGACTTGCAGTAAAAGAAAGAACACTATGATTAGGCACTGGGAAACAAGAGGACACCAGACCAGGATAAAAAGCACAATACTGGCAGCCTAAATATTGTCAGCTTTGGCATCACAGCAGAGGGGAGTTTGAGGGAGGAGAGTCAGTGAACATTCACAAAGCCTGTTGGAAGTCAACAGAGGAAAAGCAATGAAAAGCATCTGCTTCAAAACATGGCTTGTCACTGTCAAAAGCTGATATAATGGACTGGACAGGTAGGAATGGGAAATCTCTACCTCAAGTAAAYGAGAAACCATACTTCAGACAAAATCAGACCAACAGAGAGATAAAAACATAAAGCTAATWCAGGTAAAAGCAACAAAGCCAGTAAGATGCCAGGAGGAAGGATATGGTCAAAGGCATAATCTTCACCCCAGGTTTCCTCCTGGCTGTGGGTAAAAAGAAAGTTCCTTGGCTGGTAAAGGCCAAAGAAAGGGCATGTATGTAATCAAGGGATGTATGTAATCAACCCTAGATGAGAGGTGCAACTATCTGAGCAAGCAGGATGCAGCTGTGCAGGAGTCTGCCAGTGTTTGGTATGAGGGACATAACAGCATGAAAAGATCTGTCTTAGACAAAGGGAGTATCCCAGGGATGGCAAGACATATCTCTTAAAGTAAATGTTCTATAAATTGCCAGTTTTAATCACAATTSAAGACTGCAAGCAAGAACTTTTATATGAATAAACTGCTCCAATTTTGGTTTTCATTTATAGTTTTTAGTTATTTGTCTAAAGAAAAATAGAAAATTATCAGTTGGTTTTCACTAGGATGTGTTTATTTGCAACTAAATAAAGATTTAGCCTTGCATTTTATTTTGTGCCTTTTTTTCCTGATTCAGAAGATAAATTCTGATATACATCATTTAATCAGTTATATAGTTTAGTGTAGATTGATTGTATTGCTTTAGAATATGGTGAATGGTGTATTACTTTTCCTAGGTTATCATTCTGTTTTTAACATTTTCTCTATTAATGACTGGAAACAAAACACAGTAYCGGTGTATAAGGAAACAAGGTTTAAATTCTTTCTTATTAATAAATAAACTTTTAGCATTATAGATCCTTAATTAAAAGGTATAGCAAAGAACTTTTTACCCTTACAATTATTTCTGATCATCATGTACTTCAAAATATAAAACATAAAATCTTATCTTCTCTTGCCATGTTTGTTATTGTTGGACTTCAAATTTTAAATGTCCTGCTTTTTCAGAATTCTATCAGCATTTCAACTTTGTATGAAGGTAGGTAGAACTTCACAGGGAGACATTTTTGCTGTAAAAGAGGAAGGTTAAAATGTAACAAATAAGCATGTTTCTTTATGCATACAAAGTCTTTCTGTGGAAAACAGAGACGGTACAAGAATCTGCGCTCAAGAAGATCTACTTGAAAGGTGTAAAAAGTTTCTATGACATGGTTCTTCCAAAGCTTAAGCAAAAGCATGGTAGTCTGTAATAGGCTAGAAATAAAGGAGGAAGACACTGGACAGTTAATGTTAGTCCCTTTAGTTCRTGAAGAGACACGTGTGTGCATGTTGCTTTTCATAACTGCAGGTGATGCATTAGGTTCATGTTAACAAGCCTTAAGCTAGAAGTTGGAAAGGCTTTGTTTCTGAGAGGAAGAATGTCTTTGTTGTCTAACWTATTATGTGTTTTTCATCTGCTAATCTTAAAATTAAAATGTGTTGCTTATCTCTTGGGAATCTTTTACGTAGAAAAGAAGAGAGATGAGAATGTCCACTTAATGTGTATTAAGAGTGAGGGTCTAATAGGAACATGCTTCAAGAAATTAAATGGTTTTCCCTTGAGTGATATAAGAGACTTAAAAGTCTTTGCAGTWTTTGCTTGCCCTCTTTCTTCCCCAGTCATAGCTTTTAGTAACACACAAACAAAGCCTGTGGGATTCTGATGGAATGCTCTTGCTTCTACAACACCCTTTTTCAGAAAGGTTTGGGAAGGCAATCTTGAAAATGGGCACRGAATTGGTGTAATTGAATAGATAAAGATTCCCATCTGGGAGCTTTAGCTCTTCCCACCTGGGAATACCAAGTTTTACAACAATACTGATTATGTTGCAAAATTGTATGTTGACTGTAAATGGCTCACCTACATTAACATTACAGCTGGCATTTTGAAATTGATTTCCTGGTCATCGCCACTTACTCTTCTTTGGTTTGCTGGCTACACACAAACCAGGTTTATTTTRGATGAAACTAAGCCAAAAGGTGCACTTAGGACCTTGTACTCCCTCCACCACTAGTCATGCAATCTGCAGAGCTAGCCTGGAGACAGTCCAAAGTCAAGTCTCCTTAAATGCTGATTGTGGATATTGGGTCCTCAGTGCTACCTCTTTCACYCTGCAAAGCTGCTCTTATTGCACAGCACAATGTAGATAAAGTTCAGYAAATTCCTGCTGACTAATGAACTCRACTCCTGAAAGTGCAGTTGTGTGGCAATACCCAGAGAACTTGCAGGAGGGAAGAGCATTTCCATGCCAAATTAYATTTTATCTTATTTAGCTTCRTTTGTTTCTGAAGAGAGAAATGSCCYGAGGAAGTTACCCAAAATAAAGCTKCTAAGAGCAAGCCATATGCAGCTTAGAAGAATGGGCTGCTTCAGGGGAAAATTTTAGCTACYTAGCTATTTGAGCCCGTGGCTGAGAGAATGGCCTTATTCACATTCACATGAATCTGAGTTTTTAGCCTGTTGATCTTGGGGTGGGTAGAGTTGAAAAGAAGCTGAGGAGATTTGTTAGAGTAGTAAATAGCATTCCCTTGTTTAGTTTGAAGCCAGCACTCTAATTTGGGATACTGAATGTAAAGGCTGATCCTTGGAGGTCTCGAATACATGAATCTGAGAGGCATTCCAGGTAAATATTTTCCATGAGAAGGTCTTCAGTTGAGATGTTCAGTAATTTTCTTCTGAGGTAATACTTCATTAAGAGGCAGAAGATGAAGTCTCTCCTGATTCCCAAGAGCTCAAGCAGCACAAGTAGTCACTGTTGTGGGGCTTGCTGTTGAATTTACATGGTGTATGTCTGTGTCAGTTGGCTTCTGTTCACTTTCTTATCCATAGAGAGCACTGATCACTGCCCAGAAACACCGGCATCCCATGCTCCACCACCACCTAAGCCTAAGCCTAAACCTAAAAAAGCTCCGCTACCACCAAAAAATGCCACTGCTGCTTCCTCCACCACCAGCAGCCATAAGGGCAGCGAAGCACCTCATGCTAAAAAAAAGGGAAAGGCTCCTGCTAAGCAGCCTCCTCTCCCGCCACCCAAGCCAACGGGTGCCAGTGCAAATCGGGAAGCTGGTGAGTACTGCCCATGCCGTGCAGTTGTGGTGGGTGCCTGTGCATGGGGTGCTTGGCTTGGTCTGACAGTGCCTTGGGACATGGCAGCAGTAGTGGAGAACAAGCCATGGGTGTTTGTGGAGCGCTCCTGCTGAGCTCTGCTGCCACAAACACCGCAGGCAGCACACAGACCCCTCGCTGTTTAACAAACTTACCCACAACACCGAGCACATCCGAGACAACACTGAATTCCCAGTTCAAGTGTGAAAGCTGGCAACAAAATGAGACAGAGAACTGCTCAAGAGTGAGCAGGGAAGAAGGTGACTTCTGAAACCAAGAATGAATTGCCCCTAAGTAAAACTGTTTTGGTATTACTGTAACTTTCTATTGGAAGTGTCGACTGTTCCAATTTATTTGACAATAATACAAGATCAAAAAGAGGTTAAGGATAAAACCATAAAGATATCTTAAAAGACAGTTGAATAGCAATTGGTTTTGTTGAAAAATAAATTATTTACAACCATTAGAAATGACCAGGCTTCCCTTATGTGCTGTGATTCTAAGTACATACTGGAAATGGAAAACATCAATTATAAGGCACAGAGCACATGTGCTTATCACCACACTGTTAAACCAAAATTCAGAAGTGATGCAAGATTWAAGATTGGAGGTGGATGCTCTTAAGGTACTGATCTTGAGTTAGAATGGTTGCAATGTTAGTCAACGACCAAAATTAAAACATCCAGAGATAATTTGAACACAAGTGGCATTGTGATGAATGGGCTCCATATACGTATTGACACACTTACACAAACCTTGTGTCTTCAATCTCTGTCTGTCTTTAAAAGCCCTCCAGTCCCTCCACTTTTCTCTGCAAGTATGCCTCTTTACAGCTTGTGCATTTTGGCACGTTTTGTATTTGAAGCACACAGAAGAGGACTGTTTGAAAACATTGCAAGACTTCTAGAGTTACAATAATAACTTTGCCATAAAATATCCATTAACTTGGTATTAACTGTCCCTACTACATCAGATGATTACAAGATTAAACATTTTGAAAATCCTGAAATTGCTGTTTGTATTTCACATACAGCTGGAAGACTCAGCTCTTCCTAGATGAAGGAACCATATGACCTTTTCAGAAATAAAACAATCCATCACACAAAGAAATGTTTACACCAGTGGYTGGTAACAAGCTGTCAGGGATCTGACTTTTTAAGTTAAAATACATTCAGGTTCAAGATTTGTCTTCTAGTAGTCTTGATGAAATGTCATGCAATGCTTGAGGCCATTCAGGTGTAAAATATAACTACACGTCCCTTATTCTACTAGTAATTTCTTCCATCATTAAAAATATATTGTATTTGTTCAGAGTGGGGCAGTACTTAATAAGTAGAGCTGATTTGGAACAGTATTAATACAAGAGGTTTGTCAGATCCCACGAAAGTGAATACATGATGCAGCCAGTGATCAAATCCCGTGAAGGAGGAGAGGAATATGAGTAACAGCTGAGCCATRGCTCTCCTGAGGGCAACACAGCAGGTTTCCAAACTGGAACAGTGGAACTGGGAGAATGGGACTTGAATTCAGGCATGGATGTATGCCAAAAGGCAAACAACAGCCATTAAATKTTTTGTTTAATCAAAATTCAAATCTTCTACTGAAAAAGAGACATGACAGAAAATTGTCAGCCAGCCCAGTGAAAAACAACAACAGCAACAGCACTTTAGACCCATGTGGACACATAGGGGAGTTTTCTGTGGGAGAAATCTTTTAAGTTTTCTGTATCTAATTGCAGTTCCAGAAAGGTTCTGAGGATATTATAAGGATTTTTACAGTGGAAACATCTCTTGACATTTTCCCAGCCACAATTCTGTGGCCWTGTATTTATATTATGCTGCAGTTCTCAAATATAAGCATTTAACTGGTTTTGATACCTCCAGCGTGCACTGAAGTGGATCAGAACCAAAGCCTTTTCTTTCCACCATCCACCTACTCAGTAAGATTTCTGTYAAATGATATGCAGGTTGGAACCACCATCTATTTCCACGGAAATTATCAACGTCTGCCTGTGCCAATTTTCTGCTTCATTATGTTTTGATTGTAAATTGAGAGGTTTATACCTGATGTGGGAAGATTGGTGCAGTATCAATAGATTCAAGACAGTGTCCTTTACAGACACCTAAGAGCATAAAGAGCAATAGTGATTTGCTTGGAGTTTCCATGGATTTTTTCAGATGTACTGAAAGCTTCACAGYAGTCTAAATGTTTATAAACCATAACACTCAGCTACAGAAGAGAACAGCAAAATGTGTCTTTTGAATTAGTTTTCATTCTTCTTTGAGATTGAGAACAGTGAAAACTTTTTATTTTGTGAACTTATGGCCAGTATCTGCAYTTTGATTCTCTCCTAATCTGCTGGGGATTTGTTTTTATTTAAATACTTTTAAGTAAAGTAAARTAGGCCTTTTAGCAGATTTCTGTTACAGCTTTCTGTTTTACTCAGTAAGCTTAGGCAGAAGGCTSCTGTGTGACTTTCATTTGTTCTCTGGAAGTTAATGAGCTTTTACTCCATCGAAGTGTTTGAGTTGGATGCATTTTGATGAAAAGGACTAAGCCATTAGATGGTTGTCATTTTTACTGCTTTTTAAATGAAAGTCAGAAGTTTGAAGCTCAGGTGATGGGTGGATCAGCACAGCAATCAGAAATGTGGCTGGAATGCACATGGACATGCAGGCTAGACAAAATCTCTAGTGAGCTTGGGCATTATGCATTTGTGCTCCAGTACRGTGAATATCACAGGATTAAACAGCAGCATCACTGGCCAGCTGGTTTCACCACATTTTCAAGACTGYCCAGCTTGCTCACTGGTAAGATAAAGACCTCCAGTATGTACAGAGGCCTTCAGTGCCTCCTCCCTTCTGGAGGTCATCTGTGCAGGGTGACATCAGTGTTTCAGCCGCTCTTTTATGGACATACCCAGCTGGACCTGAAAGTACACTTTGTTTTGCTGTTCCTGTGCTGTTTGTCATTAAGGAGAAGGCCACCAGTTGCAATAACATTGTGAAAGGTAATTGACTGATACTCAGTAACTGTCCTCAGATGTTCATTGAAAAGTGTAAGGAAGATCACAGGGTTTTCACAGTGATCAGACCAAAAAATTAATGTAGTAGGAAAGGTCAGGCAGTTTTCTCTGCCAAAGAGCTTTTTTTTTTTTTTAACTAGGACACTACACATATTTGAAATATGTAGTGGACTTCTTAGATGATGTCCTGGCAAGGTGTGATGGGCCAATGCAGGATGCTCAAAACAAACTCTCACCCATTGGTAAGGTTGGTGCTCGCTGCTGCTCTTGGGCAAGTGTTCATCATTTCAGTGTCTCCCGCCACAAAGGGGAAATTGGAACTGCAATATTTGCTCATCTCAAGCATTTACTGAGTAAAGGACTGTGGAAGTATCAAGTGTGTTTTTTCAGTTTTTAAAAACCGGCACAAGTCAATCCATGCAGAAAATATGATGCAAAAATCATACTTGCAGACCATAAAATGCCTTTTCTTTTCTTGTTTTAGCTGGTTCCTCCTCTCACACAAAAAAAACACCAGCCTCCAAGTCTTCTTCATCGCCATCTCCTTCGTCCACATCATCTCATCTCAAAGCCTCTAAGGAGCCTTCCAGCAAATCGGGCACATCAGGGACTMCCAGGGGCAAGAAAAAGCCTGGGAAGCAGTTAGCCCCACGAACAGCACCAGATGGGGCTGCTTCCTCCCCCTCGGGTGCGGCAGCCGACAGTTCAGAAGCAAAGGCAGAAAAACCCAAGCCTGAGCAACCTTCCGTAGTAATTTTGGAAATGAAGGACACAGAGCATTCGAGCAAGCTTGTTGTGCCCCCTCCTCCTGCTGTTGCCCCTCCTCCACCTCCACTCCCAGCTCCTTTTCCTGCTGCAGCTGGCCAGCCTGATGGTTCCTCAGATGCCCACGATGTGTCAGAGAGCTGTGGGGCAGGGAGCCCTGGCTCAGACACAAAGCCTCTTGTCCAGACTGAGCGTGGCACAGATGAGAGCCTGAGCAGTGCAGCCCCAGACAATGCTCCAGGTGCCAGTGGAGAAGACACAGAAAGGTAAGGGACAGTATGGCTGTGCTGGGGGACCGGTGACACCCCAGCTGAGGAAACCGCATTCCTTCGTAGGGGACACTTTAGGCACGTGGGGATCTCTTCTGTTTCTTCTGCTGACTGGGAAGAGTTTGTGTTGCAGCCCAGCACAATTTGTTCCTTCATAGTGCCTTTGAACCATTCACCTGCAGTGCCTCATGTTTTCCCAGAAGGTCGCTGCTCGTGGCCTGTCTCTCACTGCATTGTGTGGCTGACACTGTGGTCAGCTCRTGGCTGATGACATTTGTATTTATCTCTCGTAAAGGCAAGCAAGAAATTATGCCAAATTATAAGGGGGTTTTACTTTTTTTATGTAAATGTCATTAAATAGCTCATTGCTAAAGTTCTCAATTCAATAATTGAATTTACKTGAACACTTGAAAATTAGGGTTTCAGGCTCCAGTTAGTAGGTATGTGGTCTGTCACTGCCTAGTAACTTGTCTAAATCTTGGGTACTGTAAAAACTGGTCAAGAGAAAAGTCCTAATTACTTTTTTTAAGCAAAACAGTTGGCAGGAAAATGAAACTGGCCTATTCACTTGTCTTTTCCCTGCCACAAAAGCAGCATCTTTTATATAAATCCAAGAGGGTTTAGTCTAGATGCCAGTAGCCTAGGGATCTTCCTTTAAATTCGTGCCGGTACATCTGTTGCCAGCACTACATTCCAGTGCTGCGTCTCCTGCTATTCTATCCTTCCTTTACATAAAGATTTTCCCAAGACAAAGGGCAGTCTGCTGCTGATCCCCATATTCTTCAGTGATGGGCATGGACATTTTGAACTCAACTGCAGTGAAACTGTGTTTACAATAGATAGGGTTAGGCTTCCAGAACAGGATACTTTGCACTCCCATCTGCTCTCCAGCTTGCTCCTTTCACCCCAACTTTATGAACTGTTTTCTCTCTTCGTCCCACCCCACAAGAAATAAAAAACAGTTATGAGTTGTCTTAATGCAGTCTTTACTGCACATCATTCCAGATTGTTTGCATCCTTTTTTCTAACACACATACACAGATACATATACATATCTGCATATGTGTTTTATAAATGTTTTTTTAGAAAGGAATTAATTTAATTTACAGAACTTTCATTTTCATACTTGCTTATTCAATCTGCCTCTCATTTGTGTTCTGTTCTGCTTGCATTAATGTGTCACCCTRTCTGCTCTTGAATAAACAGCTTGGCTACCAAAGAAGACCAAGAAGGGGAGGCTCCAGGTCAGGCATTCTCTGAACCGGTGGAGGAGGCTTCTGACTCTGCTGCTGCTCCTGAGAGTGAAAGTAGCAGGGAGAGCCATGGCAGTGACTCRGACTCGGATGGGCCCATCCTGTACACCGATGATGACGATGATGACGATGATGAGAATGCAAGTGCTGAAAGTAAGCACCAGAAGCTGCAGGCTGCCTTTCACAGATTGCGTTGTGTGAGCACTCCTGACCCGGGCTAGTGCGAGGCAAAGAGAGGAATGGCTGCAGGGAATGGTTTTAGGGGGGTTGGTATTTTGTCACTACTGGCAATTGTGATCAGAAACCTGCTGGGGCCTGTGCCTGCATGAGAATAGATCAAGCACTGCACGGATGAGAGTGGAGGTGGGAGGAACAGGTTCAGAGGGACATGAGGAGCAAAGCCTCTATGTTAGGGCATCACAAGCCACTGATTTGGCTTGCCCATGTCATGAGTTCCTGGTGGGAGTTACAGGTGTGGTGGATGACAGAGGAAGCCCATCAGTCAGCACCTTCACTGTCTGAAASTCATTTGTTCCTCTTTGATCAGGATGTTTTAAGCATTGGAGCAACCTTAGCAGACACAGCAGATCACAGTAGATGACATCTAAGTTTTAGAGCTTTGAAATTTCATCTGGGGTCATGACTCTATCATCACCCTAATTATGCAGAAGCCCTGCTGTGCTGAAGGGGTTGTCCTGCCCCTCCTCTGCCTAATCTGTGCTCCCAGCTGTTCTTTCCTTAGGCTAGAGTTCATGTTTATTTTTGCAGTGGCAGCTGCTGTTGAGCTGATTTTCAATAGAATTCGTGGTTTCCCGATCCAGCTCACCCAAAGGCTGTTCCTTTGCCTGGGCAAAGAAGGTGGCAGCAGCAGGCTGTCAGGAGCAGGAGGGAGGGCWGCCCTCCCTCTGCTTCCTCCACAGTGGCCTTATGTCAGTGTGAAATCAGCATCAAACTGATTGAGAGCCTTGCTCACAGCTTTCTGGAGGCGGTGCTTCATTGTGCTCAGCAATGAAGACCTGAGCACCAAGGCCCAGTGTACCAAAKTGGGATAAGGGAAAACAAACATGTTGTTTTTAATCTTGACCACTGGTGCAGAAGAGGGTGAAGTGTCAGCTCAAGAGGTTTCAAGAAGTCGTCTGCAGTTTTGTCTTGGGTTTGAATACAACCAAAGTGGTAGAAACCAAAAATTTATGTATTCACACAGCAGCACGGTGTCTTGTGAGAAGTGAGCTGGGATCCTGTGGTCTTACCAAACTGCTTTACACAGTGAAAATCTGCCAGCCTAGGCCAGCCTTGGTCAGAATGTCAAGAACAAGAGAAATACTATAAAGGCCCTGAAAAATACCCTTGCCTCCACAGCTGGCTGAAGCTAATGGTGGCCAAGCTGCAAGACCCTTGTCCCTGCTGTGTCAGTTTTATGGAGAACAGATTGCTTCAGTGTCTGGGGGTTCCTGCCTAGGTTACTTTACAAGCACTCAGAGCACTTTCCTAAGCTCTATTTTTTGTTTTAATTTACAAATGGCTTAGAGATGGAAAGCACTATGAAATAAGTAAGTGTAATTGATAAAAAAAACTTTGAAAGAATGGGGGAAATGATGATAGAATGAGACTAAATCATTTAAAGCTGAAGAAGAACAGCAGGTTGCTAAATATATTAAGTAGATAAATAAGCCAACCTGTAATGTATTAGACTTCAAAGACATTTTAGTGTAGATTTGTCATTTTTATCCTATCACTTCACAGCTGACAAGTGATGTTTGTATCAATTTGGCTGATGTTTTTTTTCCTCCAAGCCTTTTAGCTTTTTATTTTCATGAACTGAGCTAAAATTTTTCTTTTGATGTTAATTAAAATTCTTCTCCTGCATGTGGGAACAAGGTTGCTTTGGGGAGGTATTAAAGTTCTTACTCAGAGYTTGTGTCTGTAACCTGAGCATGAATGAACTAAATCCACCCTACTCCTTTCCTCAGGCTCTTTGGCAAGTAAAATTCGTCGTAGGGATACTCTTGCTATCAAACTTGGCAACAGACCATCTAAGAAAGAGTTGGAAGACAAAAACATCTTGCAGCGCACATCCGAAGAGGAGAGGCAGGAAATCAGACATCAGATTGGAACGAAGCTCGTGAGGTATCAGTCACAGGGTAAATGTGGTTTCACTGGGTGGAGGAAGAGAATTGAGAACACTGATTCTTATTTTAAATGCAGCCCAAAATGCGCTGCAGGATCTTTGTGGTACAGGTGTCTAGAAAATGGTGTTTTTATTTCTCTCAAAACTTTGAATTCTCAATACATTTTTTGTTCTGCAAGAAACAAAATCTGAGAGCTTTTGGCGTTTTGGTTACTTTGGCTTAAAAAAAAGGAAAGAAGAGGAAGAGGGTAAGAACGAGTCCACAATAATCAGTGCCATGGTTCAGGTTCTTTCTCAGATTTGTTAGCAGAACTTCCCTTTGCATACCCATCTCGGACAGAGTGGTAGTTCCTGACACACAGAGCATGCCTGTGCATGTTTTTCCCTTCTGACCATCCCCCTCCTCCTCTGGCTCTCCAATTCCTTCATTATTCATGTGCTGGTCTAGCAAAAGAAATTGAAGGACGTTGACTTTGCCAGTCAGTATTTAGTGTTTAACTGTGCCCACCTCTAAGGCACATCTTTCTCAAGCTGTTAAACTGCTATGGGATGTATGTTACTTTCTCTATCTGGACTTGAGAGCATTGCATAAAAAAATTCACTTGCCTTTTACAGTTTTTTTTTCCAGATCCTCATGTTTATTTTTTATCGTGGTCTCTGAGCATAGACTACAGCATGTCTGTATTTTGCTAGACCTCTCCTTGTTTCTGTTTAGCTCAGGAATGTTGTCCAGATTTGGAGGATGTCCTGTGTTTGTTGGAGTTTTCCAGATACAGGGTATTCCAGTTAGTGCTGCTCCAGTACAAAGTATAACAACTATCTTGAACACATCTGCAAAATAAGTTTTACTGCTGAAATTTTTCTCAAGTGAACAAGTGGACTTGTTTAGTAAACACAGAGACAACATCAACCACACCCTCCACTATACAAATCATAAAATTAATATCTCTGTTTGCAGTTTTTTTGTAATGGCAGTTGTTACATATAGCTGACTAAATAAAATTTTCAGTTAAAGCTCCCAATTGTATTGTGCATGCAAATTAGTGAGAAATGAACAACTTAGGGGTTTTGTTGTTTTTGGCTTTTTTTTTTTTTTAAAAAACTTAAAGTAAGACTTCAAAATATCAAAAATACCAAAATTCATTCAAAATATCTGACAGTTATCTAACAATTGCACAACTGATTATAATGATGGTGCTTGAGAACTGAAAAGGTTTATGAATTCTTTCATAAAATTATACCTGTGAGGACTTTAAATTTGCTGGTGAAACTTCAGTCATATTATTCAAGTATCAGTTATTCATGGGTTTAAATGGCAACACTACATCTTTTAAAACAAGTGTTCACCTTGGTTACATGAGCACTTACTGTAACTGCCTGGAAATGACCTCTGGAAATTAGACCTTTGAAGCTGTGTTACAAATCCTAATGTGTCATTTAGATCTGGTTTTAAATCAGTCGCTTTGTTCTCACAGGAGACTTAGCCAGAGGCCCACAACTGAAGAGCTAGAGCAAAGAAATATTCTGAAGCGTAAGTATTTCATTCAGGTTTCATACTGTATTTACTTAGAAAGGGAGTATATGTTGGATTCAAATGGAAGCCCATCATTGTTGCTCTAGTATTAGAACCATAATTGGAGAGAAATTAAAATAATATGTGAACACTTGGTTTATACACTAACCTGTAACTGTAGCTTTGAAAATTGCATATATCCAATATGCCAAATTTTGCTTGTCACAATCCCACTTCCTGAAGCTGGTACCAAAGATCAAGAATTGTGTGGATACCTTTTAGAAGTAGTTCAGGCTGGTTAAAMTTCCACCTCATTTTTAGGAGGAGGAGGGAATATCAGTAGGACATGAAGGTGGCATAGGAGGGCAGAGGTTGGAAGGAGGAGTGGGAAGAGGAAAGGCAAAGTATTCAGCAGAAAGTCAATAGGTATATGCCAACTACTTCAGCATGCTGGGCCTTCATATTCACTTCTGACATAAATGTCTTCTGTACTGAAACCTGCATGAGATTCTCACTGCACATCTTCCCATTGATTAAATCCTTCCTCATATCCCTGATGAAAAAAAAAGTGTAATTCAAATAGTGAAGCACAGAGGAATGAAGTACATTGGGTGTTCACCCTTYATACTTATTCTGCCATTTCCTTATGTAGCTTTTGTTCTTTGGCTGGCAAACTCTTCAGGCATTGTTTTGTCTTCCGTTGTGAATCTTTACATAACACAGATGTTCCCTAAAAACACAGTGTAACAGTTGCCATGCCCAGCTCCATCTAGCCCGGTGTTCATCTTGCACAGGTAGCTGGTACTTGATGGCTGAGGAGAGGAAATAGATGAAGAAAAGGCACTTTATAGCAATAAATCAAAATCAGACGAGCAACAAACAAAAAAACTCCGAAGGCATGAGAACTTCTCACACCTGATGAAAGGGTTGGTATAATGCTGTTATTTCCAGCAATTGTTCAGAAAGTTGGAGCTCATATGTGCAACCCTGGTGTCAACCCTGGTGTGTAGCATGCCAGTGGGAAGGGAAGRAAAGAAAATGGGCTGTTTACCTGACAGCATCCATGGACTGATGACTCTGTCACTTGCTCAGGCCAGCAAATCAGGGAGAGGGCAATTATTTGCTTTCAGGCAACCATTCTGCTAATAAAATGCTAATAAAATCTTATTGCTGTTGTCCGAGCTCTCAAATGCCAAATAGTGCCATGTCTTACTGAAAACTGAAGTTACCATTCATACTTGCACAGGAGAGGGATCAGGGGAYTCCTGTCCAGTACGTGATGTGAATAGACTCCGTATATCTGTAATTTCTGAACCTATAGATTACACAGATAAACAGAGATAAAATTTGAAATAAGAACTTTTTTTTTACATATGACCAACTGCTCATGCTGGACTGYATGAGAAGGGTAATTCCAAAACATCTTTGGTGGGCCACAATATGGCCACTGAGCTGGGAGCACAGTCTGGGCTCCTTTATTKCCCTTTCTCTCTTGCTTATCTCAAGGTAACTAACCCAGCAGCAAACATGCAATGTATTGAATATCCCTTTTGCCAGTGTTTATTCCATTCACTGATTTTGCAGTAAGTAGCTCAAGACTGGAAAGCAGTTAATAGATTTCCTCTCCTGTTTCAGCTTGTTTACTTTAAACTTTTGGCAGCACACCAGGCTTTGCACTCTGTGCCTCCTGCCATCCTCCCCTGCTGCTGTTGGGGGGTGTCTTAAAGAGGCCAGGGAGAGCGAAAAATAAAGGCTGGGAAGCAGAATTGTAAATCACAGAAAAGAGAGAGACCCTGGCAAGCACAAGGAGAATCCAAAACTGCTTTTTGCTCATCACTGAGATGTAAAATATTTCATGTTGAAAGTGATCTGTAAAAATGAAAGCAAGCCAGGGTTTGTGATGACAATCTGAGTCAGAGTCCTTTCAAGGTGCAAGGTCTCTCTAAGCCCTAACACRCTCATATTTTACATCAAAATTATTGCAGTCCCTTCCTGTGGATCATTTGAAAATGTTTACATGTCTTAAATGCCTTTGTTGGTGTAGTCAGCTTTTGTGAGTAAGTTGGGATTTCTTTCATAAAGTTTCCTTCCTCCTGTTTTTTAAGCAGTGGATGGGGAGAAGGAGTTATTGCATGTATGTAAACTGCAGCTAAGGGGATGTATTGCTTTGTGTAATATTTATCAGGCTTTGAGGTTACATTAAGTGGTAAAGGTCCAAATGTTTACTTCAGGGTTAAGTTCAGCCCAAACCTTCTAAGAGGTTCAGAAAAAAATCCGTATTTTTTTCTTTTTTTGTATTTCCAGTTAGTGAGGAAGTCTGTTTTGCAAGAAGCTTTGTTTTGATGATGTTTCCAGATAAACCAGTTACTGAAAATCCTGTTTCCAAGTATGATCGCGAGACATTGCAGGCGGMTTTGTATAAAAACTGTTTGGATAAAACTGTTCAGATTTCTGAGACTTCCCATACTAAAACAAAGTTCCGATAACTCAAGAGTCCACTTGAAGTAATACATAAAGCCCTGTGTTTTTTATAAAGGCAGGCTTCTTGTGTACTGGCTTTGAACCAACAGTATTTATAGTATTTCATTATGGCAAAGAAACTTTTTGGTCTTCCAGGAATTTCAGATTAGGATAACTGTATTTTTTTCCTGTATTTGTAAGGGACAGTGAACTTCTTGTACAATGCASCTGCATGCCTGCCAGTAATGGCTTTGTAGAATGAGGGGTTTAGCTCTCCATGCTTGTTAAGGAATATTAATGGTTATCTTTGCCTGTAAAACCAAGAAAAAGAAACAGCTTTGTGCATTTCAGAACACTGTGAGAAGCAAGTGCTTTGTTTGTCTTTTCTTTCTCTTTCCTTAGCAAGCCCACAGAGAAGTCTAAACATAGCTAATCCCATAGGGACACAATGGAAAGTTTGGTTTTATGCTCCAGGAGTACTTTTTGGTCAAGAACGGAGCAGTCCTCAGGCAGGACAATTTGTCTCTTCTTTTTCCCCCTTCTGCTGCAAAACAAATGTCCCACGGAACAGAAGGTGACCAGATTTAATAGGGTAAAAGTTGCAGGAGCAATAATATATAGATGCCAGGGAAGCTGCTTGTTTGGTTTTGACTGGTGGTTTATTTAACTTGACAGCCACAATAAGTAATGTTAAACAAAACTGTTTCAGTTAGGAGACAAATCACAGTTTGACCTCCTAGGAACTGCAGGCAGGGAAGGAGGGAAGCCATCGTTTTGCTGGGATCTAATCAGAGACTTCTGCAAGCAAAGGGCTCTTTCTGGGCTGGTCCTTTGCCAGCAGGGCAGCAGCAGGACATCTGAGGAGGGGACTTGCAGCTGAGAACGCTGTGTTTATATTTTCTCTCTCCACATCACACAGATTAGATCTGCTTTTAAGGTGGAAAGGAGTCATAAGTGTGTTCCTGTGCATTAACCTGTTCCTGTTTGGCCAAGTGAGTCACTTCATACTTGCAGCCAAATCTTGGCCCTCTGGCTGGAATTTTCCACAACACCTACAGGAACCAGGAGCACCAAATCCATTATTTTTAGCACTGCAAATCTTAACTCCCTACAGCAACTTTCAAAACTTTTACCTTAAAAGACCAAAAAGACACTGTAGTTTTGCCTGTTCATAAGAATTTGTATCCGGGCAGTGTTTCTGTAGCACCAGGCTTAAAGCAGGCTCCTGCCCAGCAGTCTGGAAGTGGGAAATTGGTGCTTTAGGTACAAGTCAGTGCCAAGGACAGGAGCCCGTGTGCCAAACAGCAAACTCAGTATATTAGCAGCAGCTACCACATTTCAGTCCATTTCCTTTAGCTCTTGAGTTTTATTCCTAGAAGTAAACCAACTTGAATGTATAAAGCACATCCTGTCCCCTGACCTCTCACACAGAAGACACACTGTTCCCCATGGGTTTGATCCCCTCCTGCTTTGCCCAGGATTTGAGGAAGCTCCTGATGTCTCCTGTTGGTATTGTCCTCTAAAAGATGGCCTGCTCCAAGGGGTGCCTGGACCCTCTKCCTGGTCGCTAATATGATTACCCTTTTTGGGAGTTTTTCTCTTGGCCAGTCATCCCAGTGTGCGGTCATCTACTACCCACAGGGACATGGCTTCACAGCTTGGGATAGGCAGCTAACCTTCAACCTTCCTAAATGTCTAGAGTAAGTTTTTTTAAGGTATTTTATCCTCCCCCAAAATACACAGAAACAGTATTTCAGGTGGCCGTGCTGTTGGCAGTTCTTCCCTAAAACACATTAAACTGCAGGGGCCGGTTTCTTCAATGAAGCATCTTATTGCTGCTTCTTAGGAGACATGGTTTTGATAGCAAAGAAGTATCACTATACGAATAATGTACAGCATATTTTACAAACTAAATTAAGAAAAGGGCAGTAGAGTAATGTGTATATTCAGCTGTTTTTTCCTGCTATGTCTGCTCTGGAGAGCATCTGAGGTAGGACTTACGCAATTCCATTCATAAAGGGATAAAATTTTTTATGTCAGATGATTCCCCGGTGAATGGAACCCCAAAGTAATAGTTTGTGTTTAATTACCTCAGCTACTGTGTCTGTTGATTGCAAAGACAGGGTGTTTAAATGCCTACAGATGATTTCTCTGTCCTAAAACAGCTAGAGACCTTTTGATTTGTTTAGGTGAAGATATTATAAGAGGAGTTATCCTTTAAATTTAAAAGTCCTTTAAGTCACAGCTCATTTATTGATAGATACATGAATTTYAAAAATTAAAATGTAGATTAACCTATAACTCTCCATTCTTCCATTTGAGTCTGTTTACAGTTCCTCTGTGGAAACAGGCTATCCATTTCTTTTCCATTTAAGAGAAAAGCAATTAATAAACTATAAATTACATCCATGTTTCAGTAACTCAGTAACATYACCATCAATATGAGATCCAGCCTAATCCTGGCAGCAAGCCTGTGTGATTGCACCTTGCTCTTGGAAACCTGATAATGGTGTTGGGGTCTTTTCAGAGAACTGATCTTGGGCAGGCATGGTGTTTTTCCTACTGTGTCTTTCTTCCTTTTCATTTTTATAATTTGTCCTCCTTTCCCTAATAGTCTTCTTACTTGAAARCATTTGAGTAAGCAAAGGATATCTGCAAGTACCATAAGGTGTCCTGTTGCAGCATGGTCTCCAGTGTGTAAGATATGATACAGGAAATCTTCTGTGGCCGGTCACCTGTACAAACACAGCAGGCTGCCTGTAAGAAACAGGGCAAATAGAACTATACCAGGATGTAAAACTTCTTTTTTATCCATACAGACTGTATCCAGAACAAATTAATTCCCTTAAATTTATAGTTAGCCTTGAACTGTAATGCGGAGTCTGCAGTCCCCAGCCATGAATAAAACAGGTTCAGAATTTTATAGATTTCCCTAGGTGGGATATTTCAGCCACAAAACTTTGCATATAATCATCACAGGTGGACTGAAAGGGCAAATACTGTTCTTCAAACTGTGCATCAATTAAAAAACATGCTGAGCCCACAAGAACATGTTTTGTAAGTGTGCTTCTCACTGGCACTCAAGAAATCAAGTTTGGTTAGAACAAAATTCGTTAAAAGCAAATGGTTTCATTCACATGCCCAAATATATTAAAAAATGCACATGTAATTTTCTGCTGTACTCATTCATTTCATCCAGCCAGCGGCCCTTAACCAAGAGGGCTTGAGAGCTTGATCATACTGCCCCCACTATAAGACCAGAAAAAAAAATAAATAATAAACCAAATCTGCACTAACAAATGACAGTGAAACAAATGTCACTGACTCGTGTCCTGTAGCAGTAGAACACTGTAGCTGTAGCACACTTGGGTGATTCAAATACTCAGAGCAAACTTCGCTTGGCATTTATAAATGACACTCTTATTCTAAAATCAATAGATGGCATGTTGGAAGTAGAAGCATCAGTGATTTTAATGTTAGAATAACTAATTAAAATATCAGGCAACTCTTCCAGGGTACTTGTTTGCTGGTACACAGAAAGGAAATGACAGGCACCTTCTCTTTGCTGTGCTCGTGACCCACAGTTGACTTGAGATGTCTACAGAATCAGGGGAAATGCGGATAGGGAAAAGAATGAGAACATACAAAAGCCAAAAAAGCAGACAACACATGCGGCATCATCCAGAAATATGAGGAAACATGAGCCAGGACTYGGAGTTCTGAAGCTTTCAACCAAGAGAAATACAGTATGTGCAGTTATGATACTTAAATATTCACTCCTTTTTATCTCTTCTGAAAACAGAGAAGAATGAAGAAGAGGAACAGGAAGCCAAAAGAGAAATAAAACGTAGACTCAGTAGAAAGGTGATGATGTGCTTTTCTGTATTGTGTATTTTTGTACATAGAATTATGTTTTATGAGAATATAAGAATCAGTGTATAGACATTGCTGCAAATGTCCATCAGTCATTCTCCCAGATTAGAAATCTGTTTAAAAAGCAGTACAAGCCTACTCCATGTTGGGGGAAACTCCATCCTGTCCAGCTCCCCATACCTGGAGTAGCATACTGAGTCTGGCCATATTTGTGTGTGCAAGCAGGGGACATCAGTGACATGTTTCCTCTGTAGTATGACCTGATCACCCCTGTCATGTACGATCAAGGGCTGCCACACCTGTAGATCCACTCTTCCCTAGAGCAGCAGAGAGGGCAGCAAAACAATGTGAGCTCTATGAAATCCCTTCACTGCTCTTCTAACCACATCWGTGGTCTTAGCTTCTGCAGGTGGGATCATGCTCATTGTCCCTGGAAAYGGAGCAGTTATGGATCTGTTCTGGGAGAGCATGGGGAAAGTTTTAATAAGTATCCCTGGTCTGCCCTTCTCTGCAAAAAGGCGTTTCCCTTAATATGATTGTCTTTAGTTAATTACAGTGAATATTGTTTGAGTTGACTGAAACAATTTGGCATCATAATGACCCCTAGATGGTCAAAACCAGGGATTTGTTTTAGGCAGATATTTCCGAATCTCACTTATTTTTGGTATTATAGTTTTAACACTGTATAATCATTAATGCAGATGGCCTAGTGGGTTAAATGCAGTGACAGTTGCAAAGTCACAATTAATATTCCAGGGATAACTGTCATGATTCTCTGTGACCTGCCCGAAAAAAGACTATTTTTATAATTGAAGAAATCAGGTTATGCTGCCTCCCCATTCCTGTGCAGCACTCCCAGGATGGTGCCTTTTTTTAGACACCTGAAAGTGACCCTATTTAGAAATACCATTAAAGTTCTCTGGAGATTACATCATACCCTCCTCTTTTATTTTATTTCATCTTATTAAGCATACTATTTTCTGCCTCCCGCTTACAGCTCAGTCTGAGGCCTACAGTGGCTGAACTTCAAGCGAGAAGAATCCTTCGATTTAACGAGTACGTGGAGGTCACGGAATCTCCGGATTACGACCGTCGTGCTGACAAGCCTTGGGCCAGGTTAACTCCTGCAGATAAGGCAAGGGGCAAATGTGGATTATAAGAAAATGCTTTCATCTGTCACTTTTGGGGAGCTTTCCTCTGGTTTACATTCTCTTGATGCCAGCATCACAAATGACGTGCTGGAGACAGCAAGATTGTCAGGGCACTACTGTGCAACTACTGCTTGCAGCTAAGCAAACCCACTCAGGTGCCTATTAAGACCATATTTTCCACCTCCATTATGACAGTCCAGGCCAGAGTTTCTAATTTTTTTTCTAATTTTTAAATCCTTGCTAACCCAGATAAATGTTTACCAWAGGTGACTCTGATCTGTGGGAATTCAGGCAGGGGTTTGCAGGCAGAAGCCTGCATCACTGCTACTAAGAGTTACTTTTGCTTCTCGTTTGAGTGAAAAAAGGTAAAAACTGCTCTATCTTCCTCAGAGTTCTTGGCCACAATCCCAATACAGGAATTGACCATGTGCATGCAATGCACCTTCTTGGGACGTTTGCCTCTGACATGCTAATACARCTCTGCTGCCCAACTACAAAGGATGAGACAAATGAACCTGTAATTCTCATTCAAAAAACACATCAAAGATTACCATAAAATAATCTTCCATTTCCCTCCTATATTACTTCATAAAAGGAAAGCTGTAGGATTTATGTAGCTAAGAGAGCTGGCGCTTGAGGCACTGGGCYTGAACCGACTTTATGGAAGTCCTGTGAAATGTACTTGACATGAAAAGTAGTATGTGCAAGAACCCACTCTCTTTTAGCTAAGGATGGTGCAACACTGATTTTATTTCAGCTGGTATTTTAATATTAGTATTAAGAAAYTTCCAGCTCATCTGAAAATAATATCAAGTCAAGGTAAAATGGTTAAAAACAGAGTCAGATGTGTTTGTAGATGTTATTTGTGGGAGATGGTGAGCACTATCTAGTCCTCCAATTGTCTGTGGGGAACTAGAGGACCCAGCACCTTCCACTTTGACAGAGGTCCAGTGTAAACTGCGCTATAAAAAACAATGACATTTCCTACCTACTTCAGGGTAGTAGTTTCTAGTTTCAATTCATTTTGTTATTAGCAGGTGTCCAAGGCTGGTTCTGTGAGCCCCAAGTTTGTTGAAAGAAAGGCAGACTTGGGGTTGCCTGGAAACTTGTCCTGTTTTTTTTCCCAGAGAAATCATTCTTCTAATTCCAGTGGGAGCAGAAAATTATGCTGCAACTATATTACAGAGCTGGACTTCTGCTGTCTTTGTTGCTAATTTGGTGTTCAGAAATCACTGTCTCTTTCCCAGCTCTACAGCAGCCTCGTGTAAGCATGCTGTTGTGGCTAAACATGACCACCCCTCCTTAAAATGAAGTTTCTCATTTATAAGACTGCAGTCTGGTGATGCTGTAATTTTATCATGCTGCCTGTCTGTTCTGCACTGAAAGGCATGCACACTGGATGACATTTCTTTAGAGATTAATGAAATTACGCTGTCTTTATTTAAAATGGTGAAAGGAAAGAATGAGTAAGAATAAACTGTCATTTCTTTTAACAGTGAAGGTAAGAAGGTGTGTGGTATAGAAACAAAACCCCTTGTATTATATATTAGAATATTTCCAAAATTATATTTATTACTTGATGAAGTAAATTGCCTATCAGTCTCTTAATGTAAGAAACAAGGCATTTACAAAGTATTTCGAATTTCTGCTCTTCCTTAGTGTCTGCCAACTGAAAACCCAAGCCTGAAATGTCCATAATTAATTTTACATAAAACTAATCAAAACAAGTGACTAATTCCACTTTTTWAAAAATACTGTTCATGTGGCATTCCTGAAGTCCTATCTCCAGAGGGGAGATRCAAGGCACCTGCTGTGTGCACAGTGCCTGTGCAGGCAGAATGACTCACCAGCTTCTCAGGGGCTGTGCCTGGAKTTAGAATCCCCTCCTGTCTGCCTGCTCAGCAAGTGATTGTCAGGGTAATCCAATCCCTTGCCCATTTTTGTCTGTAAAAGTGCCCCCCAAGTGGGGGCTTGATTCAGTGGATTTGGTGTTTCTTGATTTACTTYTGGTGCTTAATGCTTTGCATTTCTTTGTAGTGGATGAGTGCTTCAAACAGCTGTAATTGTAAAGTCATTCATGTTGATGATCAGAAATGTGTGAGAGCTGTGGATTACAGCGAGGGAAACTGGAAATGGGAAGTGTAAGGAACCTACAAGTGTAGGCCCACATTTCTTTCAGACTCTGTATTTTCCTTAAAATTCATATTTCTTATGGTAACATATATCATTATTGTTTATTAGGCAGCAATACGGAAAGAACTGAATGAATTTAAAAGCACAGAAATGGAAGTACATGAGGAAAGTCGGCAATTTACCAGGTGGGTGAATCTCTCTTCTTGTGTGAGTAATGGGCATGAGAGCAACCCTCTGCCTTTCTGTAAGTCCTCTGTAGTTGTGTCATGATTTGTGTGGATTCCTGCCATGAGTCCCCTTGAATCCCACCACTGATAAAACAGTGAAGGTGACTGCAATGGATTGGTTACTATGGATTGGTAGAAAAATATTTGTTTGGGGAATCTAAAAATTAATGCTTTAAAGAACTCATCAGGTCTTACTGATGAAGTTAGTAGTTCTCAAGAACACAAAAGGGATTTCCTTCTCTGGCAGCACTCCCTTGCTCATGAAAGTRTGCATTTTTGAAGATATATTTTCTGAGTGAAAACTAGGTGATGTTTTGAACTTCAGAAAAGCTCACCAGTGTCTAGGTGAACTTTCCAAGGGTCACTTAGGCTCCTGGCAGCAGTTTCTGGGGAAGAAGATAGATTCCCTTTTTGCCACTTCTAATGTGTTTATCTGGATTTGTTTTGTTCTCTGCTTTGGGTAACACCAAGATGTTGTCTGAAGCATTATTATTTTCTAGAGGTTTGAAGTGTCCACAGATTTTAGTAGGCTTTCGAATTTGCCAGGTATTCCTAGGGGGAGGGAGACACTTTCCATAATCTCTATGGCATRAGTTCATTTTTGTTGGACGTTACAAAGGCTGAAAATTGCCACCAGCAAGCAAAACTTGATGTTAGGATTGGCCAGCATTGTGTACATAGTATTAATGTCTTTGCTTCCACACAGAATTAAGTCAGATAAAAACAATTGTCTAATACTGGGTCTCCTCTGTTTACTGCTACTGTTTCAACCAAACTCAGGAACTCAGCTAGTGAGTCACCTAATTAGTGTGTCACAAGGAAATTCATAATGGGAGATGGGTGTTTGATGCATCTCCTACTTCATTGCTTGATTTCACAGCTTCAGGGATTTCTTTCTCACCAAAAACACGGATTTTTTAAAAAAAATAATAATGAAAAATCACTTCTGTGTAGATACAACAGGAACAAATTAATTTTTAAAAATTCAAACCAGTTTCACAGACAGCAAACCTAAGCTAGAAGATGAACCAGGAAGCACAGTTTTAATTTARTAATGCATTCTGACCATTAGAAAATGTCCTTTTCAGACATTTTTTTCATTTGGCTTTTAATGTCAGTTTCTCCTTAGGTAGTAGGTATTGTATCTTTTTCAGACTATATAAAAATACTACTTTTAAAAAAAGAGCATGYCAAGGGAGAGAATAAAAATAGGTATAGAAACCAACCCCCTGCTTACATTGTTGTGTTTCTTGAGTTGCACTGCAATATAAAAGCATATGTACAGACAGGCATGATTCATACAAAAAGAATTGGATATTTTTTCATGAGCTTTGAGAACAATTGAGACTGATTCCAACTGGATTCCTGAAAGCTGAATTAGGAATCCAGTGGAGTGACAAACCAGTTTAAAAGTGAATTTTTTTTTCCAGGGAGAGCCTTGAAAAATGGAGAAAAAAATACGCACAGCCAAATCGTGATAAATGTAGGCAATGATTCCATAGGGTCCTGAAAKAATTTCAACCTGAGAGAAATCAAGTTTTTTCTGTTCCCTCTCCATGCTCTTTTGTTTCATTGGTCATGTGGTGGAGTTATTACACCGAAGTCAGAAGAGAAACACTAGAGAAAGCTAATTAAGAGCAGAATAACATGCAGATGTTCCRAGTCAATTGCAATTTTGAAAATAAAAAGAGATCCCATCTCCTCCAGGACTTCTCATTAAAAATTATGTAGTTTCTGCTACATTTGGATTGATACACCAAAAGTGATTTAAGAAAACCRTAGACAGAAGTCTCTAGCCAGAGAATTAATTTCTCATACTTTAATTATTTTCAAGGAGATCACTGAGATTATGCAAACCAAAAGGCACTTGCATTGGCAGCTGATTAACAAAAGCTATTCTGTGATAGAATGAGAAAAAGGGGAAGCTRCTTACTAAACAAAAATGGTTTATAATGTATGGTTTCCTATATTATTGCAGATTAAATATAAGATGCTTTAATATTATAATCAGTACTTACAATATATTTGAAATGTTAAAWTTTTTTATTAAACTTGGGAAAGAAAAAACACTGGTTTCCATTGTTCATCATTTACTGTAATGACTGGTTGAACTGGTTTCCTGTTTCTAGTAATTTAGACTGAATCTTTCTGTTATTTCATAATAAAGTCAAAAGAAACAAGTTTCTAAAAATATAGAAATTGGTACAAGTTTGGGAAGAGCATATTAGCAGATGTTCATGAAGTGTTTTYAATGGAAATGCTATATATAGTCCAGTATATTGTTTTTCTACACAAATACAAAACCCCTGTGTCTTTTTTGCAATTCTCTGTACCCCCATCTAGCAGATGAGCTGCATATTTGGGAATGTCAGCCTTTGTGTACACCTCCTTCATTTGAGAAAACCATCCCTGTATTGCATTGAATCAACTTACAGGGATAATGTGTGGAACTGCTAAGGGAAAATGTGTCAAACGATAACTTAGGTAAATCTGTTGTGTAGATGCATCATATGCCTTTTTTAAGGTGCTGCATCTTTTACTACTTCATGGACAGATAAATTTTTTAAGCCATTTAAACAGAGATTTATGTCTGGTGATAGATACATTGAGAACCTGATGCTGGTGCTTTCCTTACCCTTTTGCTTGGATTCATTACATTTAACATGATTTAGATTTTCAATTGCTGTAGGTTCCTAACTTATTATAGAAAAGGTTGGTGATATCTTTTGGAGCAGCCCACTTCTCTAGCCATCATACAGGCAATCTGGAGTGATGTACATGCCCTACCCAAAGGCCTAAAAAAAAGTGAGGTATATTTGGGCCTTCAGGTGCCTCAGTTCACTGCTGTTAATAAGAAGAAAGCATCTAAAGTGCTATAAAATTTGTTGCTTACTTAAAACATAAAATTTTTGTTAGCCTCATTTTGCACAGGGATTAAAAACCCAGAAATTTGACTTTTATGRTTTAGCAAAGCTTTTCRAATAATAGTTACTAACAGCATCTCCAAATAATGGATRCAATAATTGGGCCACAAAAGGAAACAGCCATGCAAGCAGGATGAGGATCAGTGTCAYTGTCAGTTGAAGTAATAACACARTTCTAAGTTTTTTCATTTATCTTTTCAGGTTTCATCGTCCATAATTGTTTGGCCACATCCCATATTTCATGTAACAATTTTCTTTGGGGAAATCGTTGTGTCCTGAAGACCTGAAATTGCACTGGAACTTRATTGAGTWTGAGTGTGCGCTACAGCTTACCCTGAGGCTAATAAAGGAAGTGGCCCTTGTCTTTGTCAATGGACAAATTATTTGTCTAGGAGSAAAACTCACAGGAAGCGTTTGTCCATGTCCAGACAGACCACGATTCTGTGGCCAGCCCACACAGACAAGCCAATGGACTCCTTCATCAGAGCTCCACAAGTCAGGAAGTGCTGAAGACAATCGTTGGAGAGCCTGCTACCAGGGTCTCATCGGGCTTCATAGGGTTGTGACTGAGGGTAACAAAAAGGGAGGGGGGGTGAGAAAAGGACTGACAGCTGGGGGAACAGAGACTTCGTTTGTCAGTCCACAGAGAAAAGTGGAATGGAGAGGACTGCTCAACAATGCACTTGGCCAGTGGGAAGAATTATTTAAAAAAAAAAAACTGAGAGTGTGAGCAACTGTGCATGGAGGTTTTTTTTAGTGGCTACAGCCTGTCTTGAAAAGATAGCAAGCTGTTAAGTCCTTGTGTCATCAGTACTTTGGGAAGAAATGTCATTTTCTTTGGTGCCAGTAAATACAGTTGCCAGAAATTAGTCCTAGTATAACTCAAYTGTCTTTTTTCAAATCCCAGTGCGCATGCTTCAGGAAAACACATGGAACATTCATACAGAACAAGTCATATATTTTTTGGTTTTTAATGTTGACATACTTTGGATCCTCAGAAATACATAAACAGGATTTGAAGGACAAATAACGTGACACTATGAATGCAATGAAATGCTCCATGTTTAGAAACACTCCTTGCTGTCTGTTGCTTGCCATTCAAAACAGAGGGATCATTATCTTTGTCATCCATGGCAGGCAGTGGTGACAACTTCATCATGCTAGTGCRAATCCAAAGTCAGAATTGAAATTAGGCACAGAAGTCTTTGTTAGTAGGMCTGAGCAGTGATTACTAATGTAATTTTTTACATTTAAGGACTCTTGCACTGCTTTGAGGAAGACTCCCAGATGAACCAGTATGTCTTCAGTTAGTAGTCCTGTAAAAGTGAAAGGAAAATCCTTGGAGTGTCTCCAGCTTGTTTTTGTTGAGTGTGARGAATGCTTCATAGAGTCATAATTTTTTATACTATCTTGAAGTTGTACATGTGAATACAGTACTATTAAAATTAAGTGGTATGGAGTGTGAAAGGCAATACATGGTTTTTCTAAGTTGGCCTAAAGGCCTATTAAAAAGCCTGTGGCGTTGTTTACACTAAGAAATTCTCTGTCTTATATTAGCACTTATTTATCCTTTGAATTATTGTACACAACATTGGGGGGGTCTGGAATTCACATATGCATACATTTAATGCAGTATTACAATATATTTGCTATTTATCCTTTCTAATGCGTGTACATATTACGATTTATTTTTGTCTTTTATGTGCCCTGTTCAGTTTTTAATTATGAAGTGTAAGTATTTCTTTTTCTGGCAATAAAAGGTCTGTGTAGATGTGATTTTTACCTCAGAACCTGCGATAGATTCTTGTGGAATGTGTTTATAAAATTGAAGGTTGTTGTTAGCGATGTCAGCCTAAAGGCAGGAAGGCAATTTGGTGGCTAAAATTAGATATCCCCCTTTAGAGCTATTTACAACAAGACCAGGTTTGCATAAATGAGGTGGATTATTTTAGTGAAGAGCACTTGTAGTAACAGGAGAGTGCTTTACAACAGCTGTCACTCTATTATTTTTAAAGAGATTGGCAAACCTTTTTTAAAAAAAGGTGAGATTTTTATGACTTTTAGGATCCCTTACATTTTAGTAAAAATCTAATGATGTACAAGTCCCAAAATATCAATAACCAAAAAAGAAAAAAAAAAAGTAATCTACATGCTTGTAGCAAAGAAAAGGAAAAAGCGCCTTCCTTTTTTAATGGAATCAATAAGAGCCATTAGGATTCCATTTACAGAAAATAAGCTTCTGGAAGGCCCATTATTTTATAAATATAGAAACACCACTTTGACATCAAGGAAGCAGTGAAAATGTATTCTTTGGCATGAAATCATATGGGAATTAGAAGGGCATTAGAGTTAAGGTTTGTCAGCAATTCTGGTAGAATGCTAATATTTGTTTTTAGAATTTGAAGAGTAAACTTAAAAGTTACACTAGAATAGTTCTGCTTAAACTTTTTATTTGCTGATGTTGCCAAATTTAGGAATGTGTATCCAAAATCATAGAAAGGTCTACTATGTCGACTTTGAAGTATAAAATACAGTATTTAACTTCAAAGGAAATGAGTGGAGCAATTAAATAGATCTCAGTGTTGCCTTAATCACAATGAAACATTTGAAAGCAGCCAAGATRCTGAAGGCAGAAAGACAGCTGTTGYACAGGCAGAATACCATTTCTTCACTTGGACAAAGGTAAGGTCAGATTATAAATATTTCATGTAAGACAGTTGCTCCACCATCATGCCAAGGTACATACGGGCTACACAAGCAAACTAAAACTTATTAAACTCTTAGGATGAAGTGAAAAAAACTGATTTTGCAAGAAGGTTCCTCTATACTAGGCCTGGAGCATGGATGGAAAGTGACGTGCCAACCTTTTCATTTTAAGAGTTATAATATAATGATGCAGATACAACTTCTGGCTCAGACTTCTTCAAGCAGAAGTTACATCATAAGTAATGAGGATGCATAGATGAGGCAACACTTAGCCTTTCCCTGTCYTTATGGGGTTGGAGGGCTTTTTTTAAAGTATTCACTGCAAGCCATTGCTGGATGCAGAACACTAGCCATGGTAGAGATGCTGTTAATTTTTAATTTCTTACTGTTTTGATAATAATCAGATGCATTCTTTGGCCCACGGTCCAGTGAACGGATTCAGCACAATTATGGCACTGGACAAAAAGAGTTGCCTTTATTGGAACTTACTTAAAAACTAATGTAGTATACTTAGCAGAATTAGAACCATATCCATTAYGTATTTCACCTATACACAGATATAGAATTGTATATGCTATTTTTATATTTTAAATATCACCTGGCAGAAAAACAACAGCTGTAAAATGGTGTCCATGCAATAAAAAATAACAAGAATTTGGTATGTCAGTATGTGCAGTGAAGCAAGTTTGCTTTATCTTATTGAGAAGCTTGAAGTCAATTTCTGTTGCATCTCCTAGTCCTCTGTATTGATGATTTCTAATGTCTTCCAGTTGCATCAAAAACCCATTGGAAATATAACACCATATACCGGTTATGGTGCTGCATGCCTGTTGGAAGGGGAAAATCGGGATAAATCCTGAGAAATTAATGAGTTGAGTAATCCTAGAGTTAAAAAGACAGTAGAAAGACAAATAAAAAAAATAACTCTGATGCCAAGTAGTATAGTCCAGTTGGCTAGGAGAGATCAGGATGATAACTTCTATCAAGTTGGACAAATCACTTAAATGTCATCCACAATATATGACAAACCTCACACACACATGATACTTACATTCCACAGAGTCAGATATGAACTCAGATGTCTACATCCACACGAAGTGAAAACGAGTAGCTTAAAGTAGTGGTTTCTGAAATGATCTCATGTATCACATTTAACAGTAGAATCACTGTGGGTGCAAAAGAACAGATGCTTAATCAAATCCTAATTTCTTCACTGAAAGAAGTGAAATGGTTCTAGAATGCCTCTTGTCTCTCTCTTCTTTCAGGTAATACATATTAGTCTTCTTAACTCTACAGCCACCTGAATGTTTTCTTGAATTGTGATATATATATTGATTCCACAAGTAAAAAAAATTAACTACATGCTAATGATTATTTAAGCTAAGCATCATTTCAACATGATGAAACACGGTAGAATCAGAAGCAGCATCTCTTCAAAATCACTGGAAATATTCATGGCCATTTGTAGGTCTACAAAACTGCATTTATTTGTTGGGTTTATCATTTACCTWCAGTTGTGCGTGTCCCTTGCTGTGGTGTACTTTACTGACCTCTGATGTGTTGTAGGGCAGGGCAGCCCCACCATCTGCTTTGGCCACACTGAGCACCTCTTAGAGAAGCACCACAACCTCAGTGTTGGCATGGAAAAACCTCATCAGAAAGCCAAATGAAAGCTGTGAAACAAAGAGATTAAGTATTCCTGCTATTACAGAAATTAGACCCCACCCCTTTCCAGGTGAAATCGGTGCTTGGTTTCCTGCAGAGATCGTTCAAACTCAGACCTGTAACTAGTAATACTACAGCTACATCAGAGAATTTGTTTCCAATCAAYGGTCACATAACCTGACTATAAAGTCAATCTGAGCCTCGATTTTGTAGCATCAGAAAGTGCAAGAAGATCCAGCCAGCACAGACAAAAAACATCTAATCTAGTCTGGCATCCTGGAATCAGACAAAACTCCCTGACTGGCTGCAGCAGGCAGAGGTTGGAGCCAGGGCATAAAGACCACACTGTCACCTGGTACCTGGTGGGACAGGTCTGTGTGAGCACTGCTGCCATCCTAGCAGAGAACAGATATGTCTTAATGTCTGTTAATGTTTTAATGTTTATGCCCAATGTTTATGCCCATGTCTTAATGTCTGTTAATGCTTTAATGATAAAGCAAACCAAGCTAAAAGCCAACATTTGCATCAGACTGTCACGTACACATCAACCGTGTGTTTTAATAATTCCACATCATCTAGTTTTAATGATCTTCAGGAGTTAAGACCTGTGCCAGTGCTGTAAACTAGAATGAAAACATACTCAGGGTGGAAAAAAAAGGATGGATAAACTTGTCTCCTGCCTTTAGGAGCTTCCAATTTAGTTCCATTATTGTTGCTATCTGTATTCTTGTYATACAAAGCTCAGTGCAATGCTTACTGACGGGACATAGATTCTGATGAAAAGAAAAAAAGATTCTGAAAGCTTTTATAAGGTTGATACAAAATATTTTGGAGTCAAATTAATTTTTTAAAGAAAGGACAAAAAAAAAAAAAAAAGTTAATTCCCCGGAATAGTTTGAAACTTGTATTTAACAGAAATCTGAAAAAAAAATCCCACCAAAACTTATGGAACTGTATCTGTACAGAGAAAGGGGGAAATGGAGTGAAATTAACATATATTTGCTGTAATGTTCAAACATATTTCTATTTATTGACTTTAATAATTAGTAAGGTCGGGTTTCACTTTGTGTTGCCATTTTGTTTCAAGATTTTAATGGAAATAAAGCTCATATGAAGTAGATACAGCATTTCACCAATATTTTCTAGAAGCTATATATTGCGTTGSATAGAAACAAAGAAAGTAATGGTATTATCTGTATCTTCTTGTTCATGCATTAATTCTTTATATTAAAAAAAAATCTTGCAATACTATGTCAAATTTAACAATATTTGAACATAGTTATGATATAGTAAAATGTTGCTAAACATACCTTCTCTTCCTTTCACTACTTTGTGTGGTGGTATATTGATTTGTAAACTTGTATAAATTTTGGAATTAAAGAAATACTGTGTTTTGGATTATTATTTTATCCGGTGTGGTTTGAAACAAAATGGCTTGTTTGAATGGGCATCTGACTGTAWCAGCAGGGTGGGAAGGGTGTGGAGATAGCACATGCTTAATTGCCTGCAACTGTTTAACAAGCTCTTGATTTTAGGGGGTGGTATTTCCTTAAAAAAAATAAATAAGAAAAAAAATCCATTTACAACCAAACTGGAAATCTGAAAGAGGCACAAGAACACTGCAGAGCACAGACACAGCTATACATACAGGAGCTGATAATTTTGTCCCCCTTCGCAGTGTTCTCAGGGTYCAAAACAGCTCAAAGAGTAAATCATGACAGTGTTTGTGTGCCGTGCTTTGGACCCTACTGTCCAGTGGGAGATCACAAGCCTGCATTTCTCTGGTAGAGCTGCAATACACTGGGGCAGGTTCAGCAGTAGGATCATTGCACACTTGCCTCTCCCAAGCAAGTCTGCATGGGCATTGTGGAGCAATGACTCCAGTAATGAGGGCTCGATCACACATCCACACCAGAGCAGGTTGCCAAGATCCAGTAGGGTCTTACAAAGGTCCAGTAAAGCCAGAAGATTCTTACATCCTGAATGCACCCTAAGGCAGTCACAATCACCTGAAATGAAATTTTCATGTGAATTCATTTGAATTAAAATTTTGCAGCACCTCAATATGCACAGAGCCAGTTCTTAGACATTGTTTATATTAATTTGATGAAAAATGGTGAAAAATTATTCAGTAACTTCCTTTAATTTATTAAATGCTCATGTTAACAAGACAAGTAAAGCAAATAAAATTCAAACCTCGGCTCCCCACTGCCTGTCATGCTAGATAGTTACTGGGTAACTACAAGAAATGTATCTGAAACATTATCAGCTTAGAATTGTTTTCCATATAAAATATACTTTCCACGTGTTCCATTACTTTCAAAAGATGGAAGGTTGTAGAGAATCAACACAGATAACTTTTCAGCTTTTACAAGGCAGATTTTATGTAACAATTATAAAATGAACGCATCTACTTGACTCAGTGTGATTGAATACAGTAACTATAAAGAAGTGGTAGATCTGATACTGCATTTTACACAGGTGTGTGATATCTGTGAATACAATACTAAGAAACCATAATTGTTACAAATTAATGATACCTGCTTCTTGAGGATTTTCTGTAATGTAATATATATATATTTATACACACACACACACATACACGCAAATATAGTCCATTACTATAATCTGAAAAATATAAAATATTTATTGGGGATTATACAATACCTGTGTTATGCTTGTTTTATGGTGTTTTTATTGAACAAGAAAACGAAAAGTGTGCTGCCTAATTATACAGTACTGTAGGATACTCTGCTGTGCAGCTCCAAGTGCCTTAGACAACTGTGTAGCTCTTTGAATTATAGATATATACAAATAAATATATATATATATAAGTATATATATATAAGTATATATATATAAGTAGAAAATTAAGAAAATCACCTCAATAAAATTGTTCAGAAAATTTTTACTGAAAATACTTTGGTTTTGAATCTCTGGCATGTGCATGGATAGAGTTAAATTCAGAGAGCCTCCAGAGGCCAAAGTCCCTCCTCACAGAAATGAAACAAAAAAGGGTTCCTAAAACTTTCCTTTGAATTCTGGCAGTCCATCAAACACATCTGGTAGCTTCCCTGTGGGTGGTGTATTCATGGAGAGGTGTGCTCAAAGAGGTGATACTTGGTTTAAAAATACAAAGTTAGGGTTATAGCTCAATGATTCAGAGACTTCATCTATGCTCCCAGTTTCCCCTTCTTTTTTTTTTTTTATCAGCAAAAAGTGTGTCTTTACCGGTTTCATTGGCAGAAGATTTGCACTGGAAATACACCCTCTGCACATAAACAAAACTGATCTGCACAGCTGAGAGTTCAGCCCAACGAGCAGGGCATCTGCCAATCTTTTAACATTACAAAGTGACTGACAGTAACATTTGYTTTGTAATTACTTTGCAATAATTGCTTTTTTTGCAAGAACTAAGAGAAAAAATGAGCATAAACTTACTCCACAGAAGGCAAGTTGATGATTATGTTAAGGATATGCTTCCAGCATATTATTTTTAAGCAGCTTCCTTGACAGTGAGATCATTTCAATACTGCCCATTTTTCTTCTGCAAGCATAAAAGAAGTGGTTAGTGGCCTGAGCACTTTCTCCCTCAGTCTCTGTAGATGCTCTTTGCTGAATTCTGTGAGGAGTCTCTGCAAAGAACCCAGTGAGAGTACAGTGGGATGGATGGCCTTGTAAGGCTTGGATGAAATGCAAAGCTKAAGTGGAGTCTCCTATACATTTCACATGCAGGTGATACTGTATTTTTGATTTTGACATCAATCAGCTGGAAGGAAATGACTCACCCTCAGGTATCATCATCGTAGTGCCCATTATGCTAATCTTCCATCTTCAGATTAAGCCCCAGATGGATTAATTGTTTGTATACATTAGCCATCTTCTGTGATATGGGAGGGAGCCTGTTCTTTTAATCTCTGTGTGAACATACAATAAATATCCTTCTCCCTAAATGCTTAGAAACTAACCAGGAAATTCAGAGGAGGGATGTAAATTAAAGCAAGACAGAAAACACTGAGACAACTGAATGAGTAAATTTATCTTACGCTTAGGAAACAGCTGACTAACAGAGCTGAGAGCAAAAGCTAATTTTTCCCACATCCAAACTGATACAATGCTCCTCAACCAGATTTGGCGTATGTGGAATAACAGTACTGCCACTATGAGATATGGAGGTCACCAGGTTTAGAGGATTGTGAAGTGTAATTCTGTCACCAAGTCTATGCACATGCATTTCTGTGGATCCCAGAGCTGTCAGGGACTTGGGAGCAAAAAGGAGTAATCTAATCTACATCATTACCCCCCAAATAAATGCTAAGTACTGTGTTTTCAACAGCTGAGTGATTCTGCTCTTAATTACCCAGTGAAAATCCAGCTCTGCTATTCCACCTGTCGCTAGGTTTGCAGTACAGAAATACTATAGGCAGGGAATTGTTGCTGTAGGGTGCAGTCATGAGAATCCATTCACAGCCTGCAGTCCAGGGGTCATTGCTGATCTCCCTGTGCCGGGGGTGCGTACCACACCGGCAAACGGCTGAGAGAAACAAGACACTCACCGGGCACTCTTTGCAAGTCAGAGGAAAGTCCAGCCTTTGCACAGATACGTGCTGAGATAATCAGAATCCTCTGAGTACAGGAGTTGTTTTATCTGATGGAGTGGATCAGATTAGTTTGTGCACTTCTGTATGAGTGGTGTGATGAAATTTCATGGTAAAGACAGAAGACTGCACAAACAAAACAACAGCCAGAAGAGTGAAAGACTGGGCTCTTTTAGAGCTTTAGTGACACCTACTGAAAACCAATGAAATCCACCCAAATATGACTAAAGCTAATATTTTAAGGTACATGTATGCATATATATTTAGCTGCAYACATATACACACATAATGTGGATAACTTTTCTGAATTTTCAGTCACCACCTCTTCTTAGCTGTTACTGTTTTATTTGCCTGCGAGCACATGGGAAAAAAACACACCCATCTGTGTTTCACACATTCTTTTTGAAAAGCAATAAAACAGGTTTACAACACTTTCCTTACATACCAAGCATACATTTCCTAGCAAGGAGACTATACGTGTGTGCCTGTGCACAGCGGGATACACGGCATAGGTAAAGTTTACRCAGCTACAATGTCGCATCGCAGAGTAAGTCAGGTTGGAAARGACCACAGTGGGTCATCTGTGCCAACCTCCCTGCTCATCCCAGAGCACAYGGATTGTGTCCAGATGGTTCTTGAATAKCTCCAGTGAGGGAGACTTCACATCCTCTCTGGGCARACTGTTCCAGGGCACGGTCACCCACAGAGTAAAGAGGTTCGTCCTCGTATTCAGGTGGAACTCCCTGGGCATCAGCTTCTGTCTATTACCGCTTGTACCATTGCTCAGCAGCACCGAACAGACCTGGATGCAAACTTTTAACAACGTCCCTTTAGATACTCACAGACAATCTCTGTCCCCCCGCTTAGTCGTAGCCTCTGAACAGGCCAAGCACCCCCAACCATTCCTCGTCAGAAATGAGAGCTCAAACGCAGCACAACAGCATTAATATCAACAGGCGTTATTTACTCGTGACCCTGCAGACTCGGCCCCCTCAGCGCCCCCGCTCCGCCCCGCCTTCTGCGCACGCGTGCTGCCCCTTGGCCGCCTGAGCCGCTGCCGGCCCGAACCATTCTGTACTATATCGAGGGGAGAACTGGGAAAATGTGCCTCTGGCGGGTGGGAGGAAACACCCTGCTTGCGTCCGCAGAGCCTCTCTTTTATTAAAATATTATTTCGGTCTGAAAAAACGCGGGTTCTTGCTTTTTTTTTGGTCTTTTTTTAATAGGGAAACAAAAACCCAAGAACCCAAGAACCTGCCCGTCCCCTTCCCCCCGCCGGTCACTGGTCTATCCCAAGATGGAGGGCACAGCCGGGTGGCGCTGACGCTTGGCCCTCGTGGGAGCGAGCAGGGATCGGGACACCGGGAGCGGCAGAGGGACTGCGCCATGGTGAGTGTGCCGTGTTCTGTACTCGGAGCTGCCGGGGAGGATGGCAGGCTAGAGCAATAGAGTAGCCCTTGGGCGGCCTGTGTCTGCTGTAACGCGTTTGGTTGGGTAAGTCAAGCTGGAAACCTTGGTGGAAGTGTTTTCCCAGGTCAGATGTGCTAACTCGTCGGAAAGGCTTTTACCTCGTTGAGAATACTTGGAGGTTTTGTTAATCCAGAACGCGTGTGTATGTCGATGTTAGTCCTGTKCCTGTGTGATGGGGCGGTAGATAGTCCCCATGGCTAATGATGAATTGCTGCTGTAGGAGCAGATRTCTAAACACCTCTCAAGAAGCAAGATGTGTCTAAGTGAATTTCCTTATGCCACTTTCCTGTGTTTATTGGGATGAAGTGTGTTGTAGTTGCTTAACAATTTCTTTCTAGGGCTGTACGTTAAACTTTGTGCCTATAATCAGATATATATTGTACTGTATATTGTCATTTTGCAGCTGAATAAGCTACATTTGCTGTTAGAACATATGAAATGTCCGTTGTGAATGCGAGGATATGAGTTAAGGTACCACTGGTCTCTTTGTCTCTAAGCATATGTTTATAAGGTATTGCCTCGGAACAAATACAGCTGCACATTCCAGAGAAAAGATTCTCTTTAATGCATTTAATACTTGAATTTTTGTTAATAGTTAACCAAATTTSCTTTTACAGCCTCACAAGAAAAAGAAGCCGTTCATAGAGAAGAAGAAAGCAGTAACATTTCACTTAGTGCACAGAAGTCAGAGGGATCCACTTGCTGCTGATGATACTGCACCCCAGAGAGTTCTGCTACCTACACAAAAAGTAAACACTCACTTTTAATATTGAGGTTCATTCAAATAAGAAACACCATGGAGAAAAAAAGTTGGTATGCAACTGTACAATTCAAAAATACAGCCTGAGAGAAGGTAGTTTTYAGTCCAGCTTATTAAAAAGAAGGGGACATTGTAGGGAATTTCATAGTTGTGAGCTACTGCCTGATGGTTGAAGGATGACTTAACTGGCGTTAGGGATGCAAATGTATTTWAAAAAAACAACAAAAACTTGCCTGRCTCATCGTGGTAGAACAGGCATTGTTGGTTATGTTGCTGATGGAAAGAGTTGTTTGAGGTCCTGCTCAGACAGCACCTGGACGTGTAACCAGCTGATTACAAAGTTTTAATTAGCTGTGCATTAGGGTAAGGAGCGGAGAGAGGACTACAAGGACTTTAACATTCAGGCACTCTCAGTAGATGTGTTACTTTTCCTTTTGCTGGTAAGTTTTAAATGGCCTTAAGTAGCTAACTGTATTTAATTTTATTATTTTTATGCATTTATTAATTTGTTATACATTAACTAGATTTTTTTTTAAATTTTGTTACCCCCCCCACCCCTCCTTCCTAGGGGCATGAGGAGCAAAGAAGGGAAGAGCAGCGGAAGTATGGTGTCTTCTTTGATGATGACTATGACTATCTGCAGCATCTCAAAGAAGCCTCTGGTCCCTCTGAGCTTGTCCCATCTGTGCGTGGACAGCAAAGCAGAATTGTTATCACAAATGAGGGGCACATAGAAGATGAAATTCAGAGAATTTCAGTAAGTAGTATTTTTGCTAATGATAATGCTGTTCTTTGGAGCGTTAACATTCTGCAGACACATTAACGGTATTCAAAAAGTGTTATTGTGACTGATTTTTATGTATGTATATATACATACATGTGTATATATGGATCCTTTTGACCCACAAACAGACTTTCCTACAAGTAAACCCAAAAGCTGACAAGCCAGAGTTTAGTGATGAACACTATTTTGCTAGCAGTGTTAAAAGTACTTCATGTACTCACRACAAACTTTTCTTTACAGAGGTGGCTTGCAGAGGTATTTGTTTGAACAAATTGTGGTTTTCTGGTGTGAGCATTTGTTTTTAGGTTCTTTAGAACTTTTGAATGTTCTGGGAGTTATGAATATGCCAGGTTGTATTATCAGCACACAAGTTTTTAAAGGGGAATATAACAGAAACCAGAGGGAATAAAACCAAACTTTTCAATTGCTGGCATAATTTGTAGAATTTCATGATGCTGTATCACACTCGATGGAAAAGCAGTAAGTGCTTTGAAACAATGAAATGTATGGCATACATATGGCATTGCCAGTCACATAGGGTTGAGGGAATTTGATTTAACCATATACTATCATTTCAGTCAAAACCAGTGGTCTTAGTCACAAGTACCTTTCAGGTACAGCTTGGTGATAATACAGAAGATTTAAAGATAGGTTAGAAGTGCACATTATGAAGCTTTTAACAACCCTTTCAATAAAGGTGTGATTTCAAATGTGTGTTAGTGTTCTCCAAAACAACAACCAAAAAAAAATAAGAATTTCAGTGTACTTGCTGTACAACCAGTCTCTAAAAAGCTTCAGAGATGAAAAAAATACCTGTAGAATCTTAAACATGAGAATTAACGCTGCCAGCACTTTAAATAGTGTAAATGTATAACTTTAACAAGTTGCTGCTGTTAAAGTAGCACTTGCTGTAACATTGCTAACATAAGTAGCACTCACAGAGTTTCTTTTGGTCGCAGGAGTATCTGCATGTTTTTGTTAATGTGAGCTCAAATGAGAAACCAACAACAAATATATTCTGATCATGTTTTTCTGTTTCTTTTTCTAAGGCTCCATCTATTAAGTTGCCTTCCTCAGTATTTGCCACAGAGTTTGAAGAGGATGTGGGCTTGTTAAATAAAGCTGCTCCTGTTTCAGGTATTTTTTACCTTTGTGTAATGTGAGTTGCCACCTAGGAACTAGATGGTAATTAGAGCCTCAATTGTGGTGTCTTTTTTTTTTTTTTTTTTTTTTTTTTTTTTTTTTTTTTTTTTTTTTTTTTTTTTTTTTTTTTTTTTTGGCTTAGGACAGGCTCCGTAGCAGACATAAGGAGCAATATGTTAGAGATCCATGTTTCAGTTTGAGACTTTTTTTCTGCGATTCATCAGTAAGAGGGCTTTAGCCTTGCTTGGAGAGGGTGGAATCCATGAGCTCTTACTA